TCTGATGGGGGAAAAAAGGAAAAAAAAATGCCTTACCTTTGTTCAGAATGATACATTTTCACCTCACTTCAGTACAACAGGAGACATTTTGTTGGCAGGATCTCCCAGGTTCTGACAATTCCTGATGTTGTGGCTCGTGGCTGTGGAAGCTGCTCCATCCAGCCCCACATTCCCGGGCACTGGCTGGGTCCTGCACAGATCCCAGCCCACCATTCCCTTCCAGCCCCACTTTGCAGCACTGGGTCCATAAATACCCCTCAGCTGCATTAACCATTTGCTTGATCTGCAAAGACAATATTCCCTGCAGCAAATGCTTTCCCAATGAGTCACTCTGCCCCAAATTTAACCTTCTGGGTACTCTGGATTTTTTTCTGAAAATTTCTTTAGAAAATATAAAAGCCCAGCTAAAGCTTTCATGAAGCATTTTCCAGCTGCTTAGTGGCCAAGCCCTCTGACTAGTTTGTATTTCAGCCCAGAATACCTTTGATAATCTTTGCCAGTATCCAGTGTTGGTGGTCTTAAAATTCTACAACCGAGTGGAAAACTGTTAAATGCTCAGGCTTCAGAGCGTGCCTAATTAATTCTTTCCAGGGATTTAGTCCTTTAAAAAGTGTTGAAAACACGGATTCAGTGTATCATTGAATATTGCATGGTTCTGTGGAAATAAATTGCATCAGTTTGATTCCTTCAGGAGTTCAGAGAGTTATTGCTCTGTGCTTACTCTGGAAGTTTACAGGAGTCTTTGCAAAGTTCGGGTTAAAACAGGCAGAAGTTGTTACTGATGGCAAAGTGGGAGCCCAAAAGCCACGTCAGAGAACTCCAGGCACGCAGATCAAGCAGCCCCTTCAGAAATCTCCTTTGCACTGACAATTCCAAAAGGCATTTCAGCATATGGACTCCTTTTAATATTTGTATTTTGGGCAGCAAATCACTCTTGTGTTTATTTAATTTCACAACTGCTTAAGGAGATTATAATGGCTTAATCCTGGAAAGGCCCAGCAGTGCTTAAGAAGCAGGTGAGGCAAATTTGAGCTTTTTTTCTCTCCTGAGATCAAGTCCTGGAGGGGATTCAACCTCCCAGGAAACATTAAGGATCTTTCAACATCCAGGCTTATGTGCTTCTTCCCCGAGACGTGGAGACGGGAGACGTGGAAAAGGAGCATGGGATGGAGATGGACTGGAGATTGTAATTTTAATGCAGAATTAAAGGGGCAAATGTCAACATGGGTGTCTGTTCCTCTCCCTTCCAGCACAGGTCAGACTGGGGGATTGCTCTTTGCCACCACCTGGGGATTTTGGTGGCTTTTCCAAAGCAAAGTTGGAAGTGCTTTGCTAGCAGTGGTCATGGTCTGGTTGGCTTTGCTGCCTTTGGTTTCTCCTTGTTCTGAGGTTTGTGGAGACAACAGCAAAGGAAGGGACTCATGAGAGATGTTCACCTCACCTGCTGCTGGAAACACTGCGTGGAAAATCCTTCAGACTGTGATAGATCATGGAATGATGGAGTAATTTAGGTTGGAAAAGACCTCTAAGATTGAGTCCAACTCTTTCCCCAGCACTGCCAAGGCCACCACTAACCCACATCCCCAAGTGCCACATCCACATGGCTGTTAAATCCCTCCAGGGATGGTGATTTCACCAGTGCCCTGAACAGCCTATTCCAGGGTTTGACCCCCCACGATCATCAGGCCAAGCTCCAATGCAGAAAGGTCTGCAGATCTCCAAAGGGACTTGGGGAGTCTCCACAAGCTGCCCTGAAACCTCATCTGTTCATCAGATTCCAAGTAATTTCTGCTTTCAGCAGGAAAAAGTGAAAATATGTTGCTCTATCTACATAAAATGTAAATTTTCCTGTGAGCATGGATCAAACTATCAGAAATAACGACAACACAGACTGTGCTGATGGAGCCTTTGATCAGTCGAAAGGTAAAACACTGTTTCTGTGAAAAATCTGAGCTGACTTGCCTCAGCTTCTTGCTGGAACATTTTTGTTTTGGAGATTCACAATTTCTGTTGAAATAAGTGGGGAAAAAAACATCAGGATCAATTAGGAAATAATGAAATGCTCAGGGTTACAACTTTGCCTTCCTTCCACTTAAGTTCTAGGGCTGTCCTTGGTGGCACCAGGGTTTGATCTCTGTGGATCAGAGGATGCTGAAGGCACGTCCCTGCTGGCACCACAGGAGGTAAGGGAGGAAAGGGTGGGTTTGTTTTCCTTGGGAATTAAAGGGTCATGGTGGTGGTCAGTTAATACACCTCCCTAGCTTTGGTGTAGCATTCCAGAGATCCCAACACAGGCTGCAAAGGACAACCACGTCATTATCACTTTCTACAGGCTGTAGGAGAGACCACATGGTCTCACTGTCCATCGTGTCCAGGAATTTTTCAGATCCTGAAGGTGACGAGCACGTGCTTGGGGCTGTGCCAAGGAATCGTGGAATCATCACAGAGTGGTCTGGATTGGAAGGGACCTTAAAGATGACTCAGTACCAATCCTCTGCTATTGGGGGGGGACAGCAACCACTGTCCCAGGTTGCTCAGAGCTCCATCCAACCTGTCCTTGAAAAGAAACACCTGCCAGGAGTGGGATGTTCATTGCACTGAGAGACGCTTCGACCTCGTGAGCTCAGTTCCTCTTCCAGGAATGTGGAAGATGTTTGACTGGGCACAAGGCAGCCCGTGAGGAGCCAAGGCTGGGCACCAGCAATGCTCTGCCTCAGCCATGCAGGGGTTTCTCTGCCAATGGGACCCAGAATTGCCGAGGACACCTTCCAAATGGCAAACAGCACTAACTGGGAATGTGCATTAGCATAAATACAGCAATGCCAAACACAGCTGACTCAAAACACACCCAGAAATGTGGAAGTGTGCATTAATCCCTTTTTTTTTTTTTTTTTAAACACACAAGTGCCCACTTTGCATTTTAATTCCATGCAGTTGCAGGGTGATCTACGAAAATGCAAAGCCTTGTCTTCGCTGAGCTCCTTCAAGCGTTGCCAAAGCTCCCCAGTCAGTCGTGTCCAGCTTTGAGGTGGAGATCACAAGGATTCTCCTCGTCTCTTCAGACAGGTTTAGCCAGAACTCCAGGTTATTTAGGTGGAACTGATTGAAATTACACTAATTGATGATTCAGGTGATAGATACGTTGTGATTTGTATTTCATTGACCCTTTTATGCTGAATGCAAGGGGCTCATCTCATTGCAGTTGTGAAGTAGCGGATACCTGAGATGGGGATGTTATGGAAAAAGAGTGGATGTGCTGGGATGGATTGGGCTGGGAGAGGGTTGATATGTGTAGGAATGGGATGAGTGGAGGTGTAGGGAGAGCTGACCACAAGCACCTGCATGGGAACCTGTCACAGGATCGGGGAGTGCTTCCAGTGGAGGTGGCAGCACAACATGGAAGGGTGAGTTAAGTGGCTGTGGAGGGGCAGTGTGTGTTTATTCCTGCAGAATCACAGGACTGTGGCTGAGTTTTGACCTGTCCCACCTTTCCTTTCTCCCTGAGTCAGTTTGGTGACTTCTCTGGGCAGGGATCTCACTCCTGGATCCTATGGGATGCCTCGTGCTCACATTCAGGTCGAACAAACAGCAGCTCTGCCCCTGTGACACTGAGGAAGAGAGGTCTGATGTGCTGTTTCACAACTATCATCTCTGCAACATATAAGTAAAAACAATGCAGACAATAGAAGAAATGATTATAATTTGTCTGTTGTGCCTATAGAAGAAGGTTGAGTATATTCATCAGTCCATATGCCACAACAGTTGGCTACAAATTTAGTCAAAATTATACCCAACCCTTTTCAGGTTTCATTACCAGTGTGCAGTTGCTTTAAGATACCCATATGATTACAGGTAACTTTAAATATTAAATTGATTTGGAAATTCATTTGGCAATACAAATTCCCGTGGGATAGGGAAGTCAACATCTTCATCCCTCCCCTGTTTAGAACAGGTCGTGACTTAGGCTAAGGTTAGAAAATCAGAACTTGATTTTCACTGTCATTTGAATTTCCTCCCCCAGCCTCCTGGCATGTCACAGGAATATAGTTATTGCCCTACAGAAATTATGATTTTCCTGCTCTGGCATCCCATTCCTGGCAGTGATCTACAGCAGATGCTCCAGCAGGAGCCAAAAACGTTAGGAACCAAATGGCAATGAAATTCCACTCAGGAATGTCCTCGTCCCCAGGAGACACTTCTCCCACTGCAGGCTGGGGTGGTGGCAGGGGAATGGAGGCTGTGCAGGCCACTCTTCCATGGCAGGAGAGGGAACATCATCCCACAGCTGCACAGCGAGACACCCCAGGAGTGTTGCTGTGTCCACAGGGTTGGTGTAGCTCCAGGTGGACCTGCCTGATGTAGGGGTGTTTGCACTGGTTGATTGCACCTCTTCCAAGAGGACCAGGATACTGAAGATGTCACCAGTATTTCAAGGTTATTCTTGGATCTCTGGGGTTTCTCTGTGTGGCAGCTGCATTTTGTTCAGAGGAAGAAGGAGAAGCACGTTCCAGAAGTGCCACTTCTACTGCACTTGTGAGGACACAGCTGGAGGTGTCTCACAGCAAAGGCTGAGGACACTGAGGGCTCCAGGGCATGGTGAAGATATTTTAGTTCATCTCTGCTCACACCAGGCTCATCTTCTGTTAATCTGTGCAGAAAGGCAGTTAAAAACTCCCTGGTGCCCTGCGAGCTGTGCACCGTGACTGAGGGCTCCCTGCTCCTCTCCTCTGACACGAGCAGCCATGTGTTCCCTTGGAACCCTTCCTGCTCTGCCTCCAGAGCGATTTGTCATGATCCTTAATGCCACAGCTGTTTGGTTCCACCAGGTCATCTGCTTTTCTTAGTCCCGTTCCACCACCCCCTGAAACTCACACCAGCCGGGAGATCATCCCCCCCACCATGGCCAAAAATAGCACTTCTCTCGCCCCTCTCTTCCAGCCAGCTGGGAGAAATCAGGGTTTTTCTTCTTTTCCAAATTCCCCCTTCCCTCGTGGTGTCCCATGAAGGCCGGCATAGCTGCCCTGGCAGCCGGGATCCTCGGCGGCACCGGCGTCCTGCTCTTCCTCATCGCCTTCGGGACGGATTATTGGCTCCTGGCTACGGAGACCTGCGGCGTCTTCCAGCCTGAGAACAGCACTCTGAGCCCCAGGGAGGTGAGCCCTGAAATCTTGTCTTGCTCTGCAAACACTTAACTCCTGTAAATAATTTAAAATTTTTACGTCCGGGACGTTGTTTTTTGCTCAAAGTGACCTGTTAATGGAAAACAGCCTGAGCCAAAACTTTCCGTTTTTAAAAAAGCAAACCCAGCTTTTCCATAGCATTGAGCATTTTGACTGAAGTAAAGTGTGTCTAGGAAACATTAAGACAACGCCTCTGTAATCTGGCAGATATGAACATTAGAGAATGAAAGGCAAAAATGTAAGAACTTTAGTTGTTGACAGCATTTCCCTCTAAAGACAAAAGATATCTGCTGATATTTGCCATTAAAAGATTTCTCCCTCTGTAGTTTCTTCATTTGAAACTGGTTCATATTTAAAAGTGTGGGGCTTGGCAATCACATCTGAAGTGATACAACTGCAGCAGAGACAGAAAACAAAAGGGAACATCAAATGCAGAGCAGTGTAGACAAGTTCCTGCCCATCTAATAGGAGGAGATCTGTATGTTTTCAAATTAAGGTTTATTGAGGATTTTAGTTGGTGGGGAAATGTAATTTCTGAAGGGCAGTTTGGTGTTTTGGTGCCAAGGACTGATGTCACTCGCTTACAGATCCTTTCTAAAGGTGGATTCTCGCTGCACTTGCTGTTGTCTGACTCCTCAATGAAATCACAACCAGCTCAGTTCCTCGAGCCACCCACTCCTCCAAAATGTTTTTGTGCTGATCAATGTGTGGCTTCAGTTACAAAATGACAGGAAGATCCTTGTTGTGTGCAGACTTTTTGTTACTTCAAAGTTCAATCCAATTAGGTTTGATTTTTTTTCCCCGGTGTGGTGACTCACCCTGGGTGAGCATCATGATGCCAGCAAGAAATACTTTCCTTTCATTTCAGAATCCCAAAATCAAATGTGGGGCACTGTTTGCTTGAGTCATGGTTCCAAATGACTTTCTCTGTTGAGAAAAAACACACATTATGATGGAAAAGCTGCCTGAAGAAGTGAAAGAGGGACGGGGTCTTTACCATTTCAAGCAGCACAGTAAAGCCCTGGAGATGGCAGAGGGTTGTGGACAGAGAAGTGCTGCTGGTTTTGAGCACTTGGGAAGTGCCAATGTTAATTGTTTCCCATTTTTGTTGTCCTTTAAAGTGGAGAGAGCAGAGATGGTTCACTGCACGCCACCAATAAGCATCTCAAACATTTCAGATACGCTCCTGGCCAAGTGTTGCTGTGCCTGTTACCGAGGCAGAGCCACTTCAAAGGCACCAGGCAGAAATAGGAGCTGCTCTTGCTCTTCCCTCTGAGCTATTTTATTTCTATTTCAGACACCGTTTCTATTATTTCTATTTTTATTCCTGTGTTTTTACCTTCTCTGTCCTTTCTTAAACTGTCAAATGCTGTTCCTCACAGATAAGGATGGGCTGAGTGTCTGCAAACAGTGAAATTGCTGTGGATGCACCAAGTCAGCAGCCACCCAGCTGAGGGGGTTTCAGGGCTGAATGTTATCCTTGTCACAGTCAGGACCAAAACCTTGTGCTCACAGGTCTGGTCTGGGGGTTGAAGGAAGGGGTTTAAGAAGTTGAACACACCCAGATGCTCAGGTCCCTGCCATACCCATCCAGCTCTGGGCTATCAGTGGCTTAAGGGTATTAAAGAAGAAGCTGGTTCGTGCAGGCCTGGATTTTGGACAATTTGTTATCAGAACATTTTGGAACTCTGATACAGAAAGCCAAGAACAGCAGCTGCCTCCTTTTTCCCCCAAACCAACTCAAACAACAAATGAAAACTCCATCAGAAAATGAAAGCAACACCTGTCCAAGCAAAAAAATACACACTTTGTGCCCTGATCTTCCCTGGATCAGCTGGACTTTCGTTCCTCCACAGGCTGAAACACCAACGGAGACCAGGAAGGAGATCCTCACTTTCCACCACGAGGGCTTCTTCTGGAGGTGCTGGTTCTTTGGTGAGGGCCACCCAGAGACCATCTGGACCTTCTGGTACAGTGAGTATGATGCCACCACACCGTATCCACAGCATTCACTCACGGTCTGAATGGGAGACAATTGCAAGGAAGGCTCCCAGGGGTGCTGAGATGGTTTTATTTCATGTTTTTCATTCGCATTGTTCCCCTCCCAAAAGCAAACCTGGCTCACCCTTTCTGTGCCCTTTCTGTGCTCTTTTTTGAACTTGGATTTTGCTCTCAGTGGGCTGTTCACAGAAATGTAGAAACATTTTTATGCCATTTAATAAACCATTTTCAAAGTCATATGAAGTGGTGGCTTCATAACCCACTTCACAAAGCTCCACAACCCTTCCTCACATACCTCTTGATGTTTGTATTCAGCTAAATTTGCTACACTTGAGCCCATGCCCTTCCTGGTCTTCCGTTTTCCACCCCGTTTTCCACCATCAGGATGCTGAGCATTCCCACCTCCCACTGATTTCAGCACAGGGAAGGCTGGACATGCACATGTGTGTGGTGTCTGCATGCCCAGGACCAGTGGTGGACTGTGGAGGGCCATAAACATGTGTTTATGCTCTTTATTTTAAGATCTTGCCTGCTTTGCTTTTATAAGGTCATCGAAATTACACTTAAGAATAATCAGAGATATAATTAATTTATTTTTTTCTGAAAGCACATTTACTCTTCCAAAAAAACCCAAAACCCTGAAGGAGAAGGTGAAACCTGTTCTGACACCCCAGCCGGTGCTGACTGGTGGCCCTTGTGCAGTGAGGGGTGTTGGATTTAAACACCACTAAAACCTTGACCCTGTGCCCGCTGAGGCTTCGGTCCCCTCAGAGGTGCTCGTGTGGTTGTGGAGCAGCACAGTGGCCTCACAGGGCTGCAGATGATGCAGGTTCCCACAGTAAATCTACTCTGCAGTGATTAAAATTTCAAATGACTTTGCTGTCTCCCCCAGCCCCTGACCTGTTTCCTGTAAAATCTGGCAGGAATAGTCGCTGCCACCGCTCAACTGAACCGCGTGAGGTTTCTCCCACAAAGTTTTTGATATTAAAAAAAAAAAAGAGGACAGGCTGGAGAGAGGGAGTTTGCTATCAAATTACATCATATAAAAATACATAATATAATGCCACCTGAAGTGAAATGACTTGCTCTGATAACTGGCAAATTTGTGCTACTTCTTTAGGTATTTATTATAATAGGATTGATCATGGCAAATTAATTTGCTGCTCTCATGGATGTAATAATTAATTCAATAGGTATTCCATAGTCAATTTAGCATGAACTAATGTCCACCTATTATAAAGTGTTCCTTTGAGCTGGGGAACATATTTAAATAAGTGGCCAACCATTAATTAATTCACTTAACATTCATTCTATTACTGTTAATCACGATAAGCCTCAGTGGTATTAATATTGATGGGGCACTTCCATTCTAATTGTGCTTTCCCTTCTCACCAACTGGAGGTCTTGAAAAGAGCCCTGTTCTGGTACCCAAACACCTTTGCCACTTCCAGGTGTTCTGGCACATTCTCTGGAGGAAAACAGCAATGGGAATATTTACACTGATTTCAGTTGTTCCATCTTTCATGATTTACGTCCACCTCAGACTCAGGTTATGAACATGAGAAACGGTACCAGGAGCAGACTCAGATCCTCTGCTATTCCCCCTCTCTCACCATTTTTCTTTTTACTGATTTGATTTATCTAACCAAGATTTACCCTCCTTCTTTCCTCCCCAGCCTTCTGATTTCAGTGAGGGTTTTGCAGGTTTTACAAGACAGCACATCCCCATCTGCATGCTGTAATGGTGATTCTGCAGAAAACAAAAGCAAACAGGGATTTAATGATTTTTTTTTTACTTTTTTTTCAGCCAGCCAAGCACACCCCAAGTTCTGCATGCATGGATACCTGTTCCCCATGCCCATTGCTCTTGGACCTTTCCCCCACCCCTCCTATGACACAACTGCAGGTGGGTTTCTGTCCTCCTCCCCAGCAGCTCCTTTCCCAAGGGATTGGGTAGAGGTTTGGGATGTGTGTCAGTGCCTTGGAAATGCCTGTGGCCAAGCACGGACTTTTGGAAAACCCCAGACTGGGGGCACGTCAAGATGTTCCCCCACACCTTATCTGCTCCAGACCCAGCATTCTTGGCCATGAGCTGGGCACCCTCCCACTGTGTGCTCAGCACCTACTCCGATGAGCAAGGCAGCAGATTAAATCCACTCCCTCCCGCCTCCTCACTCACTGGGAGGAGCTGGAGACAACGGGCGGCTTCATCCAGAAAACCCAAACCCATTCCAGTGCTGACTCATTCCCGCAGTCAGGCTTCTTGGGAGAGCTCTGGGGTTGATTTAGTGAAAAACAAAAATAAACAAACACTGGAAAATCAGTTAGAGACCAAATTGTCAGAAGATCCCCGTAAGTGACTGGCTTATGTTTAATACCCCGAACACGGCGTGGTTGGAGAGCTGCCTTTCAACCAGCTCCCTTTTTATTTATGTTTCTCTATATTTTCCGAGTTCTTTAATGAATCAGCTGCTGCTAGGAATTTTAATTTGCTAAATTGGTGGCAGCAGCTAGAATTAATTCAATGATCTTTTTTGAAATGAATTGATTTCTTTAAATAGTGTGCATCAGTCTGCACTGCCTCCGGGGATGCAGGGCAGACGTTCTGCACAAACAAACATCTTGACCTTTTCCTTAGCCTTTAGCAGTACCTTTCTTATTTTTATTCTTTTTTAAATTTTTTTTTTATGAGAAATTAATTTAAAAAAATATTGTCAGTAGGAGAATGTGAGGGAGAGCAGCCAGTTTCCCTTGCTGTGCTGTGCAGAATTCCTGCCCCGGGGAACACGCCCGGGTGGTGTCAAATGGCTACGAGGGACATTGTGGATGGCAGGAGGTGAAGGAGCTGGGTGCAGGATGTGCAGCAAGCACATGGATTAAGCAGTGGGATTTTTCCTGCTTAGCAGAGGCAGGAATGATGTTTCTGAATGGTCTTGCTGATAAACACACTATTTTTTTCCGTCCTAAATAAAGGGCTGGAGGCATCTGCCCTTGTCTGTCAGCCCCTGCTATGGAACCCTGCCCAGCTGCCTCTCTCGGGACAGGTCCCGGCAGGATCCCGATGTTCATTGAGATCTTTTCCAACCTTAAGGATTCCATGGAGGTGCTGGGAAGGGGGCTGTGCCCGCCCCTACCCCTGTGATCCCTGGGGAGACGAGGGCATCTCAGCTCCCACATTTAGGGCAGTGGAAGCGCCGGGGATCCTCCAGTGCCCCAGCTCCCTGCAGAGCCCCCGGGGGGGCGGGGGGGGGAGCAGTTAACACTCCTTTCTTTCATTTCTAACCAGTCCACCCTCATTTGCAAGTGCTGACAGACCAGGAGGCTGTCCAAGAAGGGTCCTCCAGCTATTACCTGCTCCAGAGATAATTCTGCCTTATCTGCATCCTCCGAGGCTCCCTGAGAGAAACGGGTGATGGGAGGTTAAACATGAAAATGAATTCAGTGGTTTTGGAGAGTTCAAGATACTTATCTCTGCCTAAGTGGCTCTCCTGACAAAATGGTTTCAAATGAGGAAAACGCATCTCCTCGGTATCGTTTTTCTTTCAAGTGTGAATCATTTCAGCATTACCCACTTGCTTGTGCTCGGCTTAAATCTCTCGAGCTAGAGCTCCTGAAAAACAACAGGCACAGCGAGATGGGGTGGTCTGAGGGGATCAGATAAATCAAGGGAGCAGGGAGTGGGGCATCAGGGGTTCTCTGCTGGAAAACCACCACCTTTGGCTAAGGTTTATAGCAGTGACTGGAAGAGACTTGGCTGCAGGGAGACTGAAATTAGTGGACTAAATCCCACCCTGACCCATCTTTTGGGGTGTGATGGACACAAGTTTGCTCGGCTCTGGGTGGGGTGGTTGCCTGAAGTCACAGCAAAACCCCAAAGTCAGTGGGTGAAGAGGCAGCTGTTCCCCTGCCCTGTTCTGCTCAGTCACAAAGGCCATTAATGGGGGAAATCAGGAGCTCCCATTTTCCCTGCACTCCTGCCAGCAAGCACTGCCCTTCTTTTAAACCAGGAACCTGGCACCTTCCCTAAGCGTTAATTAAAACAGAACAAAGCTCTGGGCTGATTCCACCTCTCCAAGTTTTGCTATTCTCTTTCCTTTCTTGCCAAGCTTTTCCATCCCCCCCCCCCCCAGGACCAGCTAAGCACAGTGTCCTTTCCTCTCCACCCTTTCGTGGCCTGCTTCCCTGGCAAACCCTCCCAACCCCTTGTACTCATTCCAATCCCATTATGTAGGGCACGACATTCAACCTGAACTTGCACCAGCCCCAGGCAAAGCAGGAGCCTCAGCTCTGCCTGACACACTACACATGGCAGGTGGTTGTTTCTGCTGTTGGTTAAACACAGAGTCATTAAGGTTGGAAAAGAACCCCAAGATCTTCAAGGATGGACTGAAGAAAGCCTCTTTTGCTGCCCTTTGCCTGACTTCCCTCTTGTTGTGCAGTGTACAGAGGGTTCTGGACGGCGTTCATCCTGCTGGCCGTGGCTGCTGGGCTGGTGGGGGGGCTCCTGCTGGTCTGTGGAATTCCCTTCGTCAGCCCCCGCTCCTACAAGGTGGGAGGCGGATTCCTCCTGCTCTCAGGTAAGGGCATGGAATGCAGGGGAGGCAGGTGGGGATGAGGTGCTGCCTGGGGCTCTGGTGGGAGCTGCGCTGCTTGGAGTAAATGACTTCCCTCTTTCCCCTCTGGAATTAAACCCCTATGAGCTCTGAGCCTGATGAGTGGAAGGTGTCCCTGCCTATGGCAGGGGATTGGAAAGAGATGGCCTTTAAGGTCCCTTCCAACCCAAACCATTCTGGGATTCCATTATTCTATGCTCAGTCAGGCCTTTAGCAAGGAAGTCCTTCACAGAATCCTAGAATATGCCAAATTGGAAGGGAGCCAAAAGGTTCATCGAGTCCAGCTCCTGGCCCTGCACAGGACCATCCCCAGGAGTCACATCCTGTGCCCCAGAGGATCATCCAAACCCTCCTGGAGCTCTGGCAGCCTTGGGGCTGTGCCCACTGCCCTGGGGAGCCTGTTCAGTGCCAACCACCCTCTGGGGGAAGAACCTTTCTCTGAGATCCAACCTGACCCTACCCTGACACAGCTCCAGCCATCCCTGGGTCCTGTGCCTGGTCCCCACAGAGATCAGTGCCTGCCCCTCCTCTGCCCCTCACAAGGCAGTTGTAACTGCAATGAGGTCTCCCCTCAGTCTTCTCTTTTCCAGGCTGAACTTAATCCTATCAAAGCTGAGATTTTTGAAAACTACTTTTTTTTTTTTCCCCCTACTCTTCTATGCAACCCAGACAGACAGAGCCTTTTATTTGAGTAAAGCTGTGTTAAGCCTGTGCAGCATCAGCCCCACTCTGTTCCCCGAAGTCAGGCTTTGCATTTAGGCTGCTCCTGCCTCTGTTGTTAACATCTGGAAACCCACAGAGGGATGAAAGGCAAACCCTGCCATCCAAAATGGGAGGGCTGGCTTAAGGAGACCTGAAAAGATGAAGCGGTGGCACAGCAGGAAAATGAATTAAAAATAGGCATTTATTCATTACTCCCGCTGCAGTTACAAATGATTCCATTGAATTATCACTTGGGCTTTTTCCTTTTCTGTATTTGAGAGGAATAACTGGCTTCACTACCAGGAACTCAAACTCAGAAAAAAGCTCTTTTGCCACTCAAGCAGCTCCAGGCTGGATCTCAGCTGAGCTGTGCCAAGTGAAGGACTTGGTAATGAAATCAGGCCTTTCTCTGAAAAACCACAGCTTAATTACAGATCCTTCACCGGGTCCTGCTTCCTCATATCTGGCATAAATCAAACATGAGGCAGTCTCTTTGCTCTCAGTTTAGGCTCTGAGTGTGCCCGAATTTGGGGAGGGCTGAAAACGTTAATGAACGTATTTAACGAGAAAGATCCCAACATTTATCTGTGTCCCCAAGTGCCACATCTGTGTGTCTTCTAAAGCCCTCCAGGGATGGGGACTCCACCACTGCCCTGGGCAGCTGTGCCAGGGCTGCTCAGCCCTTTCCAGGAAGAAATTCCTCCCAATGTCCAACCTGAACCTCTCCTGGCACAGGTTGAGGTCGTTTCCCCTTGTCCTGTTCTCTGTTCCCTGGGAGCAGAGCCCGACAACCACCTGGCTCCCCCCTCCTGTCAGGGAGTTGCAGATCCAGAAGGTCCCCCCTGAGCCTCCTTTTCTCCAGGCTGAGCCCCCCCAGCTCCCTCAGCTGCTCCTGCTGCTCCAGACCCTTCCTCAGCTCCATTCCCTTCCCTGCACACGCTCCAGCCCCTCCATGTCCTTCTTGTCTGAGGGGCCCAGAACTGGACACGGGACTGGAGGTGCCCCAGCAGTGCCAGCACAGGGACAGGCACCAGGCCTGTGACACACTATTCCTGATCCAAGCCAGGTGCCCTTGGCCTCTTGCCCACCTGGGCTCACCTTGCCTTGTGTTCAGCCACTGTCAAGCACCTCCAGATCCTTTTCCACCGAGCAGATTTCCAGCCACCCTGCCCCGAGCCTGGAGCTTTCCATGGGATTGTTGTGACCCCACAATGGACAAAAATCCAAGGGTTGTACCAGGGAAGGAATCTTTCTCTTCACCCCTGTAACCCAGGCCCCAGGGAGGCAGCAGATGTGCCCAGGGAGTGTGTCCACTCTGCATGTTGGGCAGAGATATCACAGAAAAGGCTGTCGAGTGATACCGAAAATCTTCCTTCTTTTTTTCTTTCTTTCATTGTTTTTGCACTTTATTTGACTACTTCTTGATTAAAGGGCTGGGGCGTAGAATGTGACACTTTTTAGGAGAGCTGATTATGCATCACATAAACCTCTTGGCATTAGACAAAGATGCTGCTGTTAAAACTGAAGTTTGTATTAATGCAGCTTCAATGTGAACAGCAATCATTGTTATTAACAGTCGTTAGGGGAACGAGTTCAGCTGGAAGACACTTCCTGCTGTATTTTCAATCCAAATGAGAGCAGGAGGATGCAAGATGTTTTTCAGCAAAGTTTCCTTAGTGTTCCAGCTGTTCCTTTTATTTTTTTGGGGGGTGGGGTGGGGCTTATCCTGATCTGGATCCTACTTGGCCTTGGCTTCCTGATGGATTCAGCTTCCATCCCTCCGTGGCTATTTTCTGGTTATCCTTTCTAAAAATCTTTTGCATAATTGCACTCAGCAGTAGGAACAATAGATTCACCACAGCTTCAGCTCCCCAGCCACCCCTCTCCCTGGGACAGCGGGATGTGGAGGGAGGGATGAGGCAGGAGAAAGCGCTTCTTGTCTTCTAATCATGGCCTGGGGGTCAGTGTTAATTAACCTCCCTTGCAGAAATGATCTCTCCTTGAGGAAGTGTGAAAATGCTGGCGATTTGTGGAGTGGGAAGGTGGGCTGGCAGTCGGGTGGTGAGATGATGGGGCACCACGTCGACCCCTCAGGGAATCCTCTGTAGGCACCTTCATTCTGCCCATGAACCCTCCTTTTGGCAGAGGTTGTGACGGCACAGCCATGGTTAATCACTGCAAAAGGATGTAACTTTTACTACCACCAAAGGGCTCTAAAGATATTGAAAACTCACTCTCAAGCATTCATGGGTGACCACCCTGACATGGTCTTGAGGAGTGGTGTGTGTCCCTCTGTGCCAGGGGAATTCAGAGCCACCTCCCTTGATTTCCTCTGCTGGGGGACTTGGGAGAGGCAGCCAGAGCCCAGCTGGCATTTGCTGCTGCTGCTGCTGCATTTGCACATCCACTGTCCCAGCTGGGCAGCTCTCCCTGCCAGCCTGCTCCCAAAACCTGGAATACACCAGTAAATAGCCAGTGTGCTGCTTCCCTTCCAGCATTTGCCATCCCAGCCTGAGCTTCAGTGCTTCCGAGAGGGTGGCAGATCCTGCCTGGTGACTAATTGTCCCCTTGTTTCAAAAGTCAGATGACAACATGATTAATTATCACTACAGTGTCACTGAGAGGGGTGGGTGAACTCTGTGCTGCAGCTTCTGGAAACTCTTTGAAGTGCTGAGACAACTTTGCTTGTGCTTCTTCCTTTTCTCTACCTTGTGCTCCTCAGTTTTCCTTTCTTTTGGGCATTAGAAGGGAGGCCCTGGCACAGGTTGCCCAGAGAAGCTGTGGCTGCCCCATCCCTGGAAGTGTTCAAGGCCAGGTTGGACGGGTCTTGCAGCAACCTGGTCTGGTGGGTGGCATCCCTGCCCATGGTGTGACCAACCTGTCCTTCAACGTGACCCAACAGCATGAAAAAAAGAGGCAGATTTTCCAGTCCTGTGGGTTAAAGTGCTGATTCTTGCTCAGATCTTCCCAAATCCAGCAGCACTTTGGCAGTCTCAGGCTCCCCACGTGCAGTAAAGGCTGACAGTTCTGTAAGGGCAGCTGAAGGTCACCCCTCCATTTCCTCGTTATTAACATCCTTAAGAGGCAACTGGTGAAGGAGGAGAACGAGTCAAAGTTCATTATTCTCGTAATTAGCAGATTACACAAAAGTTCAGCAGCTTCCACAGAATAAGAGTTAAAGATTGAGTTCACTCACCTGTCCCTACAATTAGCAGCTATAAAGGTGTCACAAGGAAATAAAGTGAGAGAAAGGAAAAGCTCGACTCCAATTTACCCGCAGGGAAGGTGCAGCTCTGGGAGGGGGGGATGGACCACCAGGGTCCCCTGTTCTGCAGCGTTCAAAGGAGACAGATTTAATACCCCACTTCAATTTGCTTGCAATTAGCCCCTCCCCAGAAGATGCCATTGACCTCATCAGCACCGAGATGGAGTTTCACAGTTAATTTTTTTCCTCTACCATCCTGATGAACAGAGGCAAAGAGGGAGAAGCAGAGAAGGGAAAAGATCACCTGGGGAATTTTCCAGCAGTAGAAACCACAGGGATGCTGAGAGGATTGTAAGGATGGTTTGGTTTGATGAGGTCTTCGCTTCCCCTTCCCCAAACCCAACATGCATCCTGTCTCACAGGTGTGGGTGCCAATGCCAGTCTCATTTTTAGGGCAGAAAATTGTGGGTTTTTCCAGTTTTTCGTGTTACTGCCCAAGGCAGGAGGGAATGAATCTGTCTCTGCACACCAAAAGCTGGCAGGAAATGAAGATGACTTTTCACAGCATCCAGGGAAGGAGGTGGTAAAGTGAGACCTGTCCAAAAGATGAAAAATCCAAAATAAAACGGCATTTTGAAACAAAAATGCCAAACACTTTGGCAACATGGAGGTGAAAGCTCCTGGTTTTGTCGTTGTGGAGAGTCTGCTGGTGGTTTTAAGGGTGACAAATTTTAGGCAGTTTCACAAATACTCTTGATTGCTCCAAACTGGCATTTTTGGCTGAGCAGTTTTTGTTGAGCTGCCCTTTCTCTGTGTTCCCACCGTCCTTTGGCTGCACCTGCCCTTCTGATTTTCTCTTCTCGCTGAGGACATGGTGCAAATCCCAGGGACTCTTTGTCACTCAGCTGTAATTATTCCAGGGAAGAAGGCTGCTTACTTTACAGTTTCTTGTCATTTTCCCAGAGTGTGAAAACATTCTTAATTTAGATGCCATGGCTGTGCCATCACCTCCAGTACCTGTTTAATAATAAATCCTTCTCTACCAAGGCCTGACTCTCCTCCTGGGGCAAGGGGAGGGATCAATCCCAATCCTTAGCTCCTGCCGAGGTTGGGGATGGGGCCACCCCTCGTGGGACTTTTCGCACCCTCCTCAGTAAGAAATGGAAGGTTTTGATCTGATTACTTAAAAATAAAAAGAGACTTAGACCATCTAAATTGTCCTGGGTCAAGTCAGCACAGAATTCCTGGTTATTTAAAGAAAAACAGGAGGATTCCAAAGTACTTTACCAGACCACGTTCTCTCTCCCACTGGGGCTACGGTTTCATTTGTGTCTCTTACCATAGGTATTATAAGTTAATGAAATAGAAATTGATCTTTAAAAGAGCACTTTTCAAGGTTCAGTTGCTATCTAATTAATTTAATTTTAAATTACATCGGTAATAAAGACTTAATTGCCTTCTTATCAATACATTGTATTTTGTAAAGGACATGCGACTATTTAAACACACGATGGTTTTCTTACAGTAGAATAATTGGTATTTTAAGCATACAACTATCATGGTAAGTGTAAAATATTTATTTGTGCACTTAATTTCAAGTGGTATCAAAACCTCAATGAACATGCAAATGTTGCAGCAGCTGCTGTTTAACTCCTCGCCTGCCTCTCCAGCGAACACAAGGACTTCTCCACATCAGGGAAAAGGAAAACCACTTGAAATAACAGTGGAGGGTGAGGTGAAGAATATTCATAGGGTTAGGCTGATTTTTTTGTTGATAAGATTCCATTTTTTAGGGTGTGGGAGGCAGTGTAATGAATGTGTTTAGGATGGGTAGCTCCAACTTCTGTATAACTTGTAGTGAGGACTTTGAACCCTCTGACCTTCCTGTAAATCTCATTTTTGGCTGTTTATATCCATTATAAACAGAATCACAGTGAAACACTGGCATGTTTTATCTGACTGAGGATTCAGTAATCACTAAGCAGATAAATCAGCATCAGGCTTTACCCCCTTCCTTTCCTTGGCAAAAGAGCTGGATTTTGGAGTGTTTAAGCTGCCAGGAAGAATAATGAAATACGCTACAACTACCTTTGATTTAAAAATGGCAAGGGGAGAAATGAAATCCTGCAGAAGCCACAACACATCCACAGAGCTGTGTGGTAACTTGTCAACTGAATTAATTTCGAGCTGTTCACTTGGAACTATAAAAATATTATAAGCTGTGATGTATTTCTTTCATATGTGTGTGTGTGTCTATATGTTATACAGCACCTTTTAAAAATAGCAGCTTCTGGCTGTGAAGTACCAAGACCAGATATTACTGAAGTGCTTTCAGACCTGTCATCACACCATCACTACTTAGCGCAGTTTAAATTCAACATATATTAAAACTAATATGTATTTTCAATTACACGCAGTAAATAGTATTTGGGCCACTCCAATTTTTGTCATCTCCTTCCTATGGGGGGGGAGACTAAACCTCCAGGACTTGGATTATGGGGAAAGGAGGTTCCTATTAAGGCACTGAAGGCCCCAAGTCCAGGAGGTGTCTGTTCACCACATGCTTTTCAGATGTGACCAAGCTCTTCCCGCTGACCTTCGGCGGGAACGCAGCTGGAAATCCGAGATGGGGAGATCTCCTGGGAGACCTGTTTGGGTCATGGGCATCCTGCGAGGGCAGGGAGGCTCCCGGGAGAGCAGACCCCTCCAGGAGAGATGCTGACCCTGCACTCAGTGCTCAGGCTTTGTGTGACCTCAGCTTTATCTGGCTCCAGGAGGACCAGGAGGTCTCACTCGCCCACGTGAAGTCTTTGTAGCCTTCTGGTAAAAGCTGCTTATTATTTTTTTTATTATTCTGTTATTTTGTAGCCCATCTAAGATTGATATCTCAGAGCTATGTGCCTTTTGCACTTTATTATGTGTTATTTCCTTGCAAAATAGGATCATCTGCACCTGCTGGGGGTGGCAGGTTCAGTTGCCATTAGCAGGACCGATTCCCACATCCTTGCTTTTCTAAACTGGGAATTGGATCTGACACTGCTTGGAAGGGTAGGTATAAAAAAGGAATAGTGAGTCTTGGTGTCTCCTCATTCATCTCAGAGAAATTAATAAGGCAAAAAGGCACCCTTGGGAGAGGAATTCAGGTCCCTGCTGAGAACATGAATCGTGTCCACGATGGTTCCTCATGCCCATCTCCAGCTGCAGCAGAGCCAGCTTCTTAAAGCACAAGGGCAGGAACTGGTCACAGTGGTGTGGGTCTCCTCCAGGACAAGAGGGCTTGGCTTCCACAGGAACCTGCAGAGCAACATCATGAATAACAATTCTGCAGCAGTAAGCTTTGGCTGAAGGACCTGTAGGGACAACTGGAGATCTGTCGAGATCTCTTCTTTACTTTTACTCCTGTGTTCCATGTGCAGGCAATAACTCCTCTCTGTCTCTCTTTCCAGGAGGTTTATTTCTCCTGCTAGTGTTTCTCTTCGTGATGTGGAAGGAGTTTGCTGCTGACTTCCAGAAGTACATCCTGCTGGAGAGGAGCGAGAGGTGCCTGGACGATGTCCCCGTGCACGTCTACTACGGGTGGTCGTTCATGTTCGCCGCAGCCGGGGTGCCCCTGGTCCTACTGGCTGGACTCCTCTTCTTCCTGGTGGGCAGAGACATTATGAAGTCCCTGGAGTAAGACAAGTTTGGAGAAGGCTTTGGTGATGTAAAGAAACAGGCACAAGTTTTGAGGACTAGATCGTTTCTGTAGCTATAATTGTCAGGGTAAATTACACTCACTCTTACGGGGAGGCAGGGATGGAGCACTGAGCATCCATAGAATGGTTTGGGAGGGGAGGGACCTCAAATCCATCTCATTCCACCCCCTGCCATGGGCAGGAACACCTGCTACTAGCCCAGGTTGCTCCAAGCCCCATCCAACCTGGCCTTGGACACTTCCAGGGATGGAGCAGCCACAGCTTCTCTGGGAAACCTTTGCCAGGGCCTCCCCACCCTCACAGGGAAGAATTCCTTCCCAATATCCCATCCAACCCTGCCCTCTGGCAGTGGGAAACCATTCCACCTTCTCCTATCCCTTCAGGCCCTTGTCCAAGGTCCCTCTCCAGCTCTCCTGGAGCCTCTTTAGGCACTGGAAGGAGCTCTGAGGTCTCTGTGGATCCTTCTCTCCAGGTGAACCCCTCCAGCTCTCCCAGCCTTGCTCCATTGCAGAGCTGTCCCCAAAACCAGCCCCAGGTGCAAATCCAGCTCCAGCATTTTCACCCTTTGGAGAAGTTTAGTGAATGTCTGTGGGCTTTGTATGAGATTTCTCTGCAGCTCCATGGATTGTCAGCAGAGCCCCACATCCATATTCAGCAGAGCCGGAGTTTTATGGCATTCCCAGCATCCTTGTTTCTTGTAAAAGGTAATCGAATCTGGCTGCGAGGGGGACGTTCTAATGTCTGTTTCTGAAAAGCAATTAAGGATGATTTTTTTTTGCTTAGCTGGCTCTAATTGACGTCAAAGGACAACCTTTTTAATGGGATGTCGGGAAACACGGGAAACTTTTTTTTTCCTTAAAAGCCCTGATTCTGAAGATACAAATTTACCTGGACCTAACCTAACTTTCAGTAAGGGAATAAACCAATTTCTCTGGCATGAAACTTAACCTGAATTAATTGGTATTTCTTTACAGCAATGTGTTACTCCACATTTAATATTTTCCATGGGCACAGTGTTGTGGGGATCCACATCCCAAAAACTGAAAGGTGGTCAGAGGTTGAGGGAAAAGGAGGGGGGACAGTGAAACCATGGGTCATGTCTGTGCCCCATCAGTTCTTATAATTCCTCACTATAAATTCCCTTGGAATAATTTTTGTCGTTACTCTGAATTTATTATTTTCCCTGGACACAGTTTTGAGAGGTTTCTCAAGCCGAAACCAGAAGGGTGGTCAGAGCTGGGGGAAAGGGGAAGGGGGACAATAGCCCTGGTATTTTTTCTCTGCCCTGTTGTGGTTGACCCTGTCAGCCAGCTCAGCTTGGGACCTTGTATTCCACGGACTCTGCACAGGAGTCAACTCTACAGGGACAATTTCCATGTCATTTAGGTGTATTTAAATTCTTGCAATCACTCAGGTGCCCGTTGTCTGACATGGCAGTGTCAGAAGAGCAAAGCATCCCTAATTCTCCACCAAAGCATCCAGGTACTGGGTGGGTGTGGGGGGGATATAATTTACACTGAATATGTGGAGGTTTGGGAAGACACTTGAGAGATGACAAAGATTTGATCTTGTCATGTTTTTCAGGCTGGATGGTGATGCTTTGAAGTAGTTGGTGGGGTCTTTGCTTGCTGAGCTCATTTGCATAAATTTTAAATCAAACTTCCTCCAAATGTGTGCAGTTCTCCTGAATGTCAGAGTTTGTGCTAAACATACATCTCCTGAGCTTTATGTCATGCTATTGACTCAGTACAGTTAATTAATAATGGAATGTAAATCTCTTCTAGAAGATTGTTGGCAGTATAAAACTGTTTGTTAATGCTCTTCCTAAAATATTATTCAAGTCTGGCGTTTCTTTCCTTTTGGAGCAAGTTCTAATTATTCTTTTACAAGATTCATGGCATACATAGAGTGAGAAATTGTAATTCCCACATGGAAAGATTAGTTCTTTCATATGAATAACAGGCTTGGTCTCCAGTTCTTAAGCAATATTCACACTGTTTTCCCTTCATAGAAATTTTGTTTGAATAGAATTGGGATATGCAGGTAAAAATCATGGTTTTTTCCCAGGAAATGGATGTTTTCATGATGTTTATAAACACACAGATATTTCAGTGTTTTATTTGACCATTCTAAACTGGATTTTTTTTCCTGGTATCTCCTTGGGTTATGCCTGTGCCCTATCAGTTCTTCAAGGGATAATTTCTCACTCTAAATTCCCTTTGAATAATTTTTGTCATTTAATTATCTATTCAGTGTGGAGACGAACACTTATGGTCACAAAGAATAAAAGTATATAATCCAGGAGCAGAAGAGGTCAAGATTTACAGTCACTTGCCTTTCCCTGATCCCATAAAACAATCCAAGCATGTAGAAATGATGATCCCATAAGGGACACCAGGGCAGAAGAATGAGAATGCAGCAAGAAATCCATCAGACTTATTGATATCTGTGAAGCCGAGGATCCCTGAAGTTGTGAATATAGAAGTGAGTTTTATATTATAGAATGAAATATTTATTAACTTTCTCCATCTGTTCTTTAAAAAATTTAGTTTAATGTCATCAAGGCATTTATGGAACACATTGAGTTTAATCATGCAGCCATGCCTTAGGGAGCAAACCATCCCTGGAGACCTGCTCTTTCTGGATCAGCTCTAGAACAAGCAGTTTAAAACTCCATCATTCTTTGGAAACTCACGTGGCTTGGAATCAGTGTTGAGCAGAGGGTGAATTTTGGGGGAATAAGGAGCCCACTTTGGCCTCGAGTTTCCTGTGGCAAGTAGAGCTCAAGCAGACAAAATTTTGTGCGAGAGTCATCATTTCTGGAGGAGAAATTTCAACCCCCAGCCTAACGAGCTCAGTGGTGGGGTCTGAAACTGCAGAAACCACGTTTTTGCTTTCATCTGTTGAATGTGAGGAAGTTTGATGAAAGGATATTATGGAGCAGTGACAAGGACCTAATTCTGATCCAAGTTTTGTCATTATAAATCACGAGTAATTCCGAAGATGCAGCAGACCCTTATCACTGGTAAACATCTGTAAGTCACATCAGAACCGGGACTAATAAATACATTCAAAGATGCATAATTAAAACAGTGATTTCACATCACTCTGATGAATTTTAGTCAAGGATTTCTTCAAGGATGCTTTTCTCAGATTAGCATTTGATGTTAGTAAGCAATGAATAATTCCATTTTTTCTTTCCAACATCTGGGACACTTCCTGCTTTATTTGCTACTTACTGAACACTCTGCAGGAAATATTAATGAATCCTGGGTGTTGAAATGCAGGCCCTGTGATCGTGCTCAGGAGGCAGAGTTACGTAGGAGAGATGAGGTGTCTTGAGATTAAGAGGCTGGATTTTGGTGAAGGTGGATATTGGGAGATTTGCCAAACCTGAGGAAGATACAGGGATTTGAGGAGGTTACCCAAAAGTCAAGTCCCTGTAGCTCCTTCTTTCATACAAGGGAGATTTCCCCTCATATCTGGTAGGCAATAATCAATAATAAAAGTTTTTCCTCTTGGTCAGATCAGCTCTTTTACCAGAAATCTGACACCCAAGGACTCTCTGAGGCTGGGAAGGTGCTGGTGCTTGGGACCATCTGACCCAAGGAGACATGGACCAGGAGACCAGCACTTCATGAGAGCATCACTGCCATGCCCAGCTGCTTTCTCACACCCCCAGAGGCCTGGAGGGTTTTCCCTTTCTTGGTAAATTATAAAATTCTATGTTTGGAGAGCTCTGCTGGCTCTTCAGAGAAACCTGCGAAGACCTGAGGCAGGAGAGCTTCCAGAGGAGGAAAGAAATGTTCTTCTGTATTAGCGTGGAGTGACTTTGGCAGGAGGGTGAAAACACCCTCTGCCATGGAAAACAGGTTGACAGGAGTTTACCAAACTTCACTCCAGCCACGTGTATAATCCCCTCTGGGATTGCTTTGACCCAGCAGCACTGAAACCTTTCCACTTCCTCTTTTTGTCCAGGAAAATCCCCGTTGTCTTGGGCAGGTGCAGTGTTTTCCCCTTGGTCACACTCCCTCCTGCTGAACAGAGGGTGGGTCTGCAGAACAAGGATCTGCCTCCAAGAGTCCCTCCATCCTCCTCTCGTCCTTGCAGCCCCCCCCATGCAGAGAGGCTTTGCATCCCTATGGAAAACACCCAAGGAAAATTCCCAGCAGCGTTCCAGCCCCGGCCCTCATCCTGCTGAGTCAGCACCTTCCTCCGTGCCTCTCGTCCCTCGGGCACCGCCCGGGGGGAGGCACAGATGGGGGTGCAGCAAAGCAAGACCCACACCAAATTAAAATAAATGAGGGAAGGCGGGCTGGCCCCACGCTCTGAGCACCGGGCTGTGCGTCAGGGCAGGATTAAGCCCCATCAGCCCCGGTCCCATTTACAAGAGTGCGCAGCACCTCAATCCTACAATCAATAAGCTGTACATGCTGCAGCACAAAGAGCTCTTATCTGCAGTACCACTTTGAATTTGGTGAATTTATTTAATCCCTGATGCCTGCAGAGCATCAGTCCTGTCGGCTGGGTTAATTTATTTATTCCGGTGATGTATTTTTAGTCTTTCAAGTCCTTGACATTTGAGAAGCAGATTTGCTTTTTTTCTTTTCCCCCCTTCTGTTTCCTAAAAAAAAAAAAAAAAAAAATTGGAATTGAAAAAAATTATTCACAGAAATGTGGGTTTTTTTCCTAATTCATCCTCCAATTTTTCTCTTGGGAGCCAAGGGAAATACTATATCAATACTAATAACCTTACACTGAATGGGTTGGGGAGGGCTCCTTTATCCCTTGTTTGGCAGATCCTGTTCCTAAATCAGGGCTGGATCTGATCTTCTCTCTTTCTTCTCATTTTTTTTTTTCCTATGAAGATTTTCTCTTCCTCTTAAAAAAAAAAAAGAAAAAAATTTAAAAAGTTAAAAAATAACCTATTTTTTTTTTTAGTTATATCCAAAATTCTGTGCTGCATTTAGTTTGGGAATTGTCATGAATGCATGTGATGCTCTCATCTCTTGGAACTTGGTATTTCCAGGTAGGATCAGAACCTTTGGCTCGACCCAGAAGAACCAGTGGGTTAAACAGTGTGACCACTGTTAAAAAGAAATACCAAATGAAGAATACTCTACAGCCACTGCTGTGGTGCTGCAGTAGTGATTATTATCAGAGCTGTAAAAATGCATTTTAATTAACCCAACTGGTGGGTACCAAACATTTGGTTATGGAAGAGTAAATTGAAGCTTTATAAGGTTCAGGATCAGCAAAGAAGGAAAAAGTCTCACCTGACCTTGGGTGACTCAAGAACGGCCTCAGAAAAGCCAGAAAAATTAAAAATAAAGTGGCATGAAGGGCAAGTGTGTGAAAAACACGGGGTTAATTCTATAGTCCCCATTTGTTTATTTTCCCTATCCATTATCCAGTGTTTCCCTGTGTTTACATTAAAAGAAGCAACAAATACTGAGCAGAAAGAGCCACCCCTAGAACAGGGACAGTGACATTTTCTGGTAAAATATATCACATATCCTCAGAAACAGTTCTGTAGAGTCACAGAACAGGATTGTTCTTCCATCTGAGATGCTGTAAGAAAATTTTTTGGGTTTTCTTCTGTTTAAAAACCAGCCAGGGGGAGAAGATGTTCACCAAAGCATTCAGTGCTCAAAGAACATTGGCTGAACTGGCTGATTTAAGATTTTATTACTGAATAAACCTCACTGGTTACAGGCTGGAATCATTGCAGGGCACGGTGAATAAATACATTCTGAAATAGGGGCATCAATTCTAGATATTTCCCTGCCAAAAAAAGAAGGGAAATATAACAATTTAGACAAATCAGCCTTAAAATTGGTCCTACTGGGTGTTGAGGTGGAGACTTTGCATCAGC